GGTCCTCTGGGCCTCCACCCTGGGATCGGGCACCGGGGGCAGCAGCAGCAGCCACAGCAGGAGGAATTGTCCCAGCCCAGCGGGTTGGAGCGAAGGTCTAACCATGCTGCTCCCTCCTTCCTCCCACTTTCCCGATTACTTTACCCTGGACCCGCAGCCACTTTTAAATGAGCAACACACTCCCGGCCAGGGTGCCGCCTCCACCAGTGCCAGCCTAAGGGGCAGAGCCTGGCAAACCTCTCCACATACACACCCATACAGCTTTCCACCACTCGGCCACATCCACCCCCCAGGCAGTGGTGAGAAGCGCGCAGTAGCCCGACCCTGAGCAGGGACCTGCATTGTGAAATCCATAAAACCAATAGGGGCAGGATGACGAGCCAGCACCCACCCACGGTGGGCATTAGGAAAACACACCACATTTCAGTATCCTCATGTTTTTTATTACAAAACAAGCCACAAAACAGTTTTAGAAAATTAACTTTTTGCTACATACCAATTCAGAGAGCACATAACATGAGAAGCACAACCATTTTCCATGCACTCAGCTCAGTAGTTACAGTGAGTGCATTTCACAGCTGAAACACACTGGTTCGAAACACAGATTCATGCCACACCTTCCTAAGCAGTGGGGAAAGGAATCAAACAGTTCAAACTCTACCTAGATGAGTGATGGTAATTGACTGCTGCAGGCAACACGCAGAGAGAAAGGGAATGGGTAGAAACGATTTAATAAACGTAACCACTTCTGACATGTTCGAAGTTTATCAATGAAGCTGATTTGGGAAACTCTATTACCAAAATATTGTTACCTCCATACGCTTGTTTATTTAGTTGTCAGTGCAAATAGACATCAAATCCCACTGCTCCAGTATTGAGCCTGCTATTTATTTACTGGGTCCTTTTAGCCTATGTCTGAGCAGTTATACTCAAAAAAGTGTGTGTGTGGGGGGGGAGCAACTTGTAAGTGAACTACAAAACTGAACCTTAAATCTACTTTCTCATGGGAATCTTCCAGCATTCTACCCAGAAACAGATGTGTAATTCCAACATTTTGACCGGAGGTCACTCTACTTAATGTATGTTTATGTTGTCCCACAGTATGCAAAAAGCCCAATTCTGTTTACCATCAACTGACTTAAGAGAGCAAATCCATAAGCTTTCAAAAGCAGTGGATGGTGAATAGTTCAGCTCCAGGGAAGACCACCTGAGGTACTGTTACATATAGAGTGAGTCAAGACGCCGCCAAATGTCTTATAAAAACAGCACAACTCAGAGAAGGTTTTTATTCCACGAAGAAAATGCAGTGCCTTTTTCAGTTCCTTTTATTTTTTAAAACTCAGTTTTATTCCAGAGCCTATGCATTTAACTACTAACCTATAGTGCATCCCCACCCTATTTTTTGCTTTGCTTCCATTTTATACATTTAAAACTAAATGCTTTTGTCGTACATATACCACCTTTGGCTCACATGTGTAGTGACATTAAAAGGCTGTGCTGTGAAATTGGCCAGAAGGTAAGAAATATGGACACAAAAGGAATTCTAAAAATAAGGTTTGAGAATGAGAATGCTTTCAGGCTTCATTGAAGATAATTATATTTACCTGGTGTTGGAACTACATTAATATGTTCTAACATGGAATTTCTAATAAATTGCCAACTAGAGTCCCTGTTTTCCCCCATCATGATAATACAATTTGGATTAATAAGCATGTTCAATTTAACACATTCTCAAAAAAGACTAATGAACAAGAAACATATCAGCTTATTATAATGGACAATTAATGTAGCAGTAGTATTCTAGCAGAGAGTTTAATTTTAAAGAGAAATGGATAGATTTTACAATTTACACACCAAAAGGTGGCAACTTTTCATGAGTTAGGGAATGTTTAAAGAGACCTCAAAAGTCTCTAAATTATTTCCATTAATTCAGTATGACTTACTGTGCACTTATTAGCCAAATAATTTTCTTCAGGAAAACTGGAAAATGAAACCAGAGACAAACAGCTTTAAAGAATTTGGAATGACTTTTGGAAGTAGGCTACTTGAAGTATGTTGTAACCTCCACCACTCACAAATAAATAATTCCTAAACCAAGGGTTTCTAAGGACAAAAGTGTGTAAGAGTCTGGAGAGAGAGAGAGAGAGAGAGACAGAGAGAGAGAGCAACCCAGTAGTAGATTTCCTTTTTATACCAGGACCACTATGCCAAGCAATTTAAGTGAAAAATAGCTCCAACACAGTGCAGTCAAGAATAGTTCTCAACATGACATGGACTTCAAGGAAAGAATGGCTCCTGAAAGAAACATAAGATTTCCCTCAAGTCCCTAAGGATTTTCTGATCACATCTTTTCACCTCTGCATTAGATGTGGACATAAGCAGGAAAGGGATTTACTTAGGTAAAAATACTTATCTTAGTCTCTTCCACAAGTCATTAATATTATAATTTAAAGATATAATTAACTGACCTAGCTGATAAAAGTTATAGACAGAAATGAGTTACCTTGTCTCTCCCTTTAGGGAACCTTGAGCAGTTCACCATATAAGTTGGACAGACAAATCCTTCCAGGGCCCCAGAAATAGTTTTTTGTTTTGTTTTTTTGCCAAATGAAATTTGGATGGGAAATACAATCTATGCTTTTCTACCTGGGACATCTCTAGTCAGCAATGCATAGCCTCTAAATCAGAGTTTCTATGCAGTTTCTATTTTATTAAAAATATAAATATCTATCAAGATTATCTTTCTATCTCTCTGCTCTTAAGTACACAGAACACCTCATCAGATTACAAGGTTGGATCATGCAAAAACATAAGGCTTCTTTCAAAGGACAACACAGACAAGAAAAAGAAAGCAAATATGCCAGGGCACACAATATTACAGCACTTACACTTAGACTACTGTTGGACCATGAAAAACGGGCTGTGAGGCAGGATTCAAGATGCTGTCTATGCTAAAGCAGACCTTTCCTTCTGTTTGGAAAACATGGACCAAGAAAACTTAGCTGGATGAACTCCAATCCATCTCTTCCCAGCATCTGCTTCACAGCAAATCGAAGACTCTAAAATAGAGATCTGATCTATCACACAGTGAATTATCATACAAGTGTCAACTCTCCACACATTCCAACTAACACCATATTAAGGGAAATGTCTGTTCTGCTCTCAACGGTCATAACATTTAACACTGATAAACTCATCCTTGGGGCCGGACCCAGAAACCAAGTGGGCAGATCTGTCACTCACACTGACAGTATTTGGGGTCAAAGAACATCTACATGAGAACAGAGTCGTTCCCAAAATTGACGGATGTATTGAATGAATCATTCCCCATTCCTTACAAGAGGTCCCTATTTCGTTCTCTATGGGGATCTTCCCTGATGGATTAGCCCCCAGATTTTAACACCTCCCCTTAGAATGGATCCCAGTGAAGAGGAGCCTGGGTCTCCACCTCTCCTCTCTCTGTTTAGGTGGGTTAGTTTCCACCCTTCTACTTCACAGTCAAACCTCAGCCAACACAGAGGAATAAGATAAAGCCAGATGACTGGCCTAAGATTCCGTGTCTGTCCTGAAAACAAGGGGAAGGAACTAAAACTAGGACAAGGAAATAAAACTTGGTCAGGGACGAAATTAGACTTCCAACCTTCTCTCATCAGGACAACCTTTCAATAGTCGAACAAGAGGCAACCTGATCTCCATTGAGCATAACCTAGTGATTTTCCCAAATTAAACACACCACATGGGTATTTCTTTTTAAAAAGCCAGCTGGATGGGCCCCTCCCGTAGAGCATCCAAAGGAATATGAGCGGCATAAAGGCTCTGACTATCCTCCAACAGACAGAACAACAGAGTCATGGCCTCCTGTGCTTGAGTCCTCCCCGCCCCTCCCTCCCTGGGCGCTATGCCTCATCACACATCAGAAGTCCGTATGTTCTCATCATCAAGGTTGAACATAAATGGCTTCTCCTTGGGGTGCTGGGGCTCCGATCGGTGCCTTATCCGGGAGCTGGGCAACGCCCCGGAAGTATTGCTCTCCCCAAGTCGAGACGTGAACAAAGCGTCCTCAAGAGTCTCTTCAGGCGGATGTAGCTTTTCCCCGGCCTGGGGGACAGGTGTCCAGGGTTGCCAGGAGGAGGCCACCGAGGGGGCTTTGCAGAGAGCTTTCTTCTCTTCCACAGCTGGCCGTCCTCTGCAGAAGACAGAGTTGGGCCCACCCGACAGGCTGGAGCTCCCAGAGCGAGTCAAAGAAATGGATCGAGAAAAGGACATTTCCTACAAAAATAAAAGGGAAGGAAAAAAAAACAAAGGAAAGTGAGGGCTTTCCTGACAATGTTTATCCCAAAGCCCCACACTGAGTACCCACCCACAATCACCGTCTCGTCGTCCAGAGACGTGTGTCTACAGAAACCAAGTAAGTCCACGGGGACTCACTCCAGACTTGTCAGTCTGCCTGACGGGGAGCTGTGTAGGGCACGCCTATCCGACCCTACCTCACCTCCTCCACGAACCAAAACTAAAAAACAAATACGTGTACCCAAGTCAATCGACAGAGAAAAACAAACAAGGCAGCCCGGGGCTTCGCGGGGACCAGGCCGCCTGCCTACAGCCCCAAATAAAACCTGCCCGCTCAAGGACACGCTTCTCCCAGTTGACAGTGACTCTGCGACAGAAAGGAAGTGACTTACTCTGGGGTGGCACTTGAGGGCCTGGACAGCTGCCCTGATCTCTTTAATCCAGCTGTGCATGTCTTCTGGGCTGTCCGCCTGCAAAACACACACAGCATTTACACAGGCATTCTGGGCACCATGATTTCAGCGCTCAAGGCTCTGACTCAGTGCTAAGTTCATAAAAATCACACCATTAGAGCTGGAAGAATCTCAGAGATCATCTCGTCCAGTGGCTTCAGACGTTTGAGGACATTTTTTCGGATCTGACACTTCATAAATAAACCAGCTCCAAGTGGAGCAGCTTAGCAGTAGGGCAGAGGTCACGAGGGCGGGTGAGCTTAGAGGCCCCTCCCCTGTTGAAGTCCTGGACCCCCTTCTGGAACACAGTCGGCCTGGTTCAGCTTTATAGAAAATGAACATGAGGCCCAGGAAGTCAGAGCTCAGGGTCTATGGACCCTGATCTACATTCCAGTTCTCCTGCCTCTCAGTGCAGTCATCTCTCCATTACAGATATCTGCACAGAATAAGCGTATTTTCAACTCCGGTCCCATTCAAGCCAAATCCTCTGCAACGCCTCCCAGATGTGTATCATCGCCAAGCCGGGCTTCTCTCAAAACACAAACTACCTGAGTCTGCTCGCATTCCCCATCCAGGCCTCAGAGTTGCTAGACTTGGAGTGCTAAGCTTAAAAACATGTAGGACACTGCTAAACAGTAAAAAAAAAAAAAAAGTATTTCCCCCAGAGATACCTGCTAAGCCCAGAAGGGGGCAGCAGCGACTCTGTGAAGAAAGGAAGAAAATCTAGAGGCAAAGCCACTGCAAGTGGAGTCCTCCGAGTTCTGTGTTTTCCAGCTTTATAGAGGCTGAATTCTAGCGAACCCGGCAAAAGTTTACTGAGGCCTTCTTCAGTATTACACATGGCATCAGTGCTGGCACAAGATGGGACCGAGACTGAAGCCTTGACCTCCAGAAATTTATATTTGTTAACCTCTCTCTGTCCCCCTGTGCCTTCCCCAAATGGTTCCATCCCAAATCACAAGTGTGGGGAAAAAACCCCACAAGTGTGCATCTGTATATGCAAACACCACACCCCAGACTGCAAAACTGTCCACATACCACCCTCACTTTCCCCATCCCCAAAAATGATTCTTTCT